TTATTGACTCCTCTACTCATGGAAAAAGTACCTTCCTATCCACCCTACTGAAACCCCTCATAACCTATCCACCTCCATCATGTCCTCTCTCAACTTTTCTGCTCCAAGGAAAACAACTCCAGCATATCCAATCTTCCAGCATTGATGAGATCCTCCAGGTCAGGCATTAACCTCGTAAATCTCCTCTGCACCCTCTCTGGTACAATCATATTCTTTCAATAACTTGGTGACCAGAACTGCACATAGTACTCCAGTTATGGCCTAACAGTTCCAGGATAACATTGCTACTCTTGGCTTTATTAGCTGAGGATTAGAATACAAGTTTCTCATATGCCTTCTTAACCACATTATATGCCTGCCCTGCTACCTTCAAGAATCTGTGGATATGCACACCAAAATCCTTCCTATTTTCAGTGTTACCCAGAGTCCTACCCCTCATTGTGTAACCCCTTGCCTTGTTTGGTCTGTTCAAATGCATTACCTCACACTTTATTGGGTTGAATTCCATTTGGCACTGTTCTGCCCACCTGACAAGTCTATTGATGTCATCCTGCAGTTTATACTTATCCTCCTCACTACTTACCACCCTACCACTTTTTATGTCATCCATGAATTTCGTGATCATACCCAATACGTTTAAATCAAAATCATTAATGTAGACCACAAACATCAAGGGCCCCAGCACAGAGCTCTGTGGATCTCCACTGGAAACAGACTTCCAGTCACAGTAACATCTGTCTACTGTCACCATGTGCTTCCTGCCTTTCAGCCAGTTTTGGATACAATGTGCCACTTTGCCTTAGATCCCACGGGCTCTTCATTTCTTGACTAGGTATGCCATGTCGGACCTTATCATGAGTCTTGCTAAAGTCCATATAAACCACATCAAATATATGACCTTCATCAATACTTCAGTTTGCCTCCTTAAAAAGTTCGATCAACTTTGTCAATCGTGAGCTTCCCTTGAAGTAACCATTTTGACAATGCCTGATCAATCTAAGTCTCTCCAAGTGCAGATATATTTTCTCTCTCAGAATTCTTATCAATAACCTGCCCACCACCAAAGTTAGACTGACTGGCTGATAATTTCTTGGTCTATACTTTCCTCCCCGTTTTAATTATGGGGCAATATTAGCAGACCCACAGTTCTCTGGTGCCTCACCTGTAGCCAGAGAGGATTTGAAAGTTACTGCCAGGGCCCTGAGATCTCTTCCCTTGATAGCTGGGAAATGTCTCATCTGGGTCTGCTGATTTATCCATTTTTAAGGTGCCAAACCTTCTGGAACTTCATTGTAAACTTCTAATATGTCATAGTCCTCCACTCTGACATCTGTACCTGCATTGTTCTTTTCCATTGTGAAGCCTGACACAAAGATTTCATTGGGGTCCGTGCTCACAGCTTCTATACCCACACACTACCTTTGGACATTGAGGCATTTTTTTTTATGTATATTACTGTAAACTTGTCTGCATATCCTTCTATTATGGCCAGCCTGCAGTCATCTGACTGGTAGCCTGTAAACTACCCATGAATCTACTTTGGGCAGATAAGCCCCATATGAGATTACTTCTTCTTGTCCTAAATAACTAGTACATATATAAGCACATCTCCATGTTTATAACATGGTAATAGTTTGAGAGATAGTGGAGCAAAGGATTTAGCTAATTTTTGGGTTTGTATCAAAAGGTCAATTCATTTTGTAAGTTGGTTCATTTAATTTCTGATCTATTATCATGCATTTTTTCCTGTTTGTGAAGTTCAAGATATCCTCTGTGTTCTGAGCATTTGATGTGACTGAAGAAGTTGATAAATTTATTCACTGATAATGTCATAAAGCACTTCTTCATACAAATGGAATGGGAAATCTGCAAGTTTTCCACCTTGATGTGGCTGGGCAAATTGAAAATTTTCAAATTAGAATTGATAAATTGTTGTTCGGCAAAGAAGCAGGTCGGGTCAGTGAAGTGAAGATTAGTTATGATTAGGGGTACAGGCTCAAAGAGCTGAATGATCTACTTCCTTTGTTCCTTCAATAAGAAACATAATAATATTTTACAATGTTATATGTAATAAAGTATAGTACCTTCATGAGAGTTTTCTTTCTCAAAAGATAAATGGCACTGGAAGACTGGAACATCCATCAGGTGCAATATATGAAGGAGAATTTAAAGACAACAAATTCCATGGGACAGGCACCTACACGTGGCCAAATCAATTCAAATATATTGGGAGCTTCAATGAGAACAAGTGAGTGACTATAGACATTAAAATAGAACCTGGTCAATGTCACAGAGATGACAAGGATTCAATTATTATGAGCAATGGAGTTGTCATGATTGCTTGAGGCCAAGATTTGTAATGTGTATGGTTGGTCAGTGCATGACTACACGTGAAATGCAGTTCAAGGGCAAATGTATGGCAGCACTGAATCTCTGGATGTCTGATTAATGTAATTGCTTCTACCAGGACCTCACATTGCAAACATGTCCACTTCAACACTGCAGACCAAACATAAATTTACTCCACTGGGTATGAATGCATTGGCAGTCATTTTTCTTCCTTATTGCATGTTGAAATTTGGTGTAACCTGGTGTGTTTCCGAATCACACTCTGTGTGATTCCCCTAATAGTCAGGATTATTCCCCGCCTCGTTATTTTGTTTTGCTGTCCCTGTCAACTCCCTCAGTTTTCAGGCTCCCCATGTTCCAGTCCAACCTTTTTATCTGATCGTAAACATCCCCAATTTTCCTCTTAGTACTTGGCTTATCGCATTGCCATGCCCACTTTAGAGATCCACTTTGGTCCCATTGAAGTCAGAGTAATGGTGACATGTGAAAATAAAACCCTCCCACAATACTCCATACACAGCACAATATGGTGGGGGGAGGACAAGATTCCACCCTTAGATTCAGAATGGCCACCCTTCATTGTCATTATCCCCACAGCATGTTCTGATCCCAACTGATGTTATTATTGCACAAGTCCAAACCCTGACTGAAATTTGGCTTGATAGATTATATTGTGTTTTGAAAAGGTGGTTTGACATTGAAAGATAGGCACACAATGTTGCTGATTTGTTTTCAACAATTAAACAGAAATATATTAAGCAAGAAAAATAAAGATAGAATAGAATAAACTAGACTATTTACTTATAACACAAATTTAAAGATTTTGAAACATGCGGTGAAGTATAATCCCATTAAACTCAAAACACTCCTTTACAAATCCCAAAAGCATCCCTGTACAAGGCGCACACCAAAAGATCCCTTTCTCAAACACTTCAATGAATTTAATTTGACTTAATTCCCAGTCTAGAAAATCAGATAGCATCTTCTTAGATCTAAGATACACCTGATCTTAAAAGTACTTAGCTTCAGATAACCCTTTCAGGGTTTAATCCAAACACTTCTGGTCTGGAACTTTTGCTATCTTGTTCCCCTAAGGTACCCTAGTGTTAACAAATCTCAACTGTCTTCTCCCTTTCTGAAGAACAACTTAATATCTGAAAACATCTGCCAAACTGCCCGAAACTGAAAAGGGTCTTTTGTCTCTAATCCATAGATATTTCACCTAAGCTTAAAAATTCCAGAAACTTCTAACAGAAACCTTGAGCTACAATTGTTTATCTTATGAAATCATAAACCATCCTGAGATGAATAAAAGCCTATTATTTCTGAAAACTCATCTTCACAACTGTTTTTTTAAAAATCACCATTGCTATAAAAACACTCAAGTTAATTATTAATTACTTCAAATATACAGATAATCCAAATTTAACATGTAATATTAAAAATACGTGCAAGTATGTATGGGTGGCATAGTGGCTCAGTGATTAGCACTGTGAGAACCAAGTTCAATTCCACTCTTGGGCAACTGCCTGTGTGGAGTTTGCATAATTCTCCCCATGTCAGCATGGGTTTCCTCCGGTTCCCTCCCACAGTCCAAAGATGTGCAGGTTAGGTGAATTGGCCATGCTAAATTGCCCGTAGTATCTAGGGATGTGCAGGCACTGTAGATTAGCCATGGTAAATGTGGGGTTGCAGGGACAGGGTAAGGGTGGGATGCTCTTCAGGGGGTCAGTATGGACTCAATGGGCTGAGAGGCCTGCTTCCACACTGTTGGGACTCTATGATCACACAGTCTAAATCACAAGCATCACAACATAACACGCACTTGCCCCAGATGTGAGCTTCTCACTTTGCCCAACCAGACTTATTTCTGATAAGACTCAGACTATTATTGCCCAAACCCTCAGAACTGACTGTGGCCCAACCACTGAACTGATTTGTGTTGAAGCTGCTGTCCTAATGTCCCTTCAGCTTCCTATGTACCTGTAATCCTCTAACAAACTGGGCTTGATAGAGTACTGATCAGGGCCCAATCCCTGGATAGCAAATAGAATGATCCCCAGACAGCAGTAGGACCAAGAGGCTGACTGATCGTTGCCAATCTCAGTACTGTAAATCAGACAAGCCCATTGACTGACTGTGATAATACCCTCTGACTGACTGTAGTGCCCCTTGATCCCAATGAGGACTGGTACCTTTTGAATTTCAGGCAAAGCCTTTTGGTTAAAGCACATGTGTATTTGCCACATAAGCTTCTGGCACAATCTGTAGGTATTACATTGATGTAACACGATGCATGCAGCAACATGTCCGTCCCCTTGACTGTTCATTGCTGCCAATATGACAAACCATCAGCCCTTCTGTCTGTGGTAAAAGTCGATGCAAACCAGAAATGCTGAAAGTCTCAAATTAAGCACAAAGTGAGTGAGTGCTAAGAAAACAAGTTAACAGGTGTAAGATGAATCCTCTGTAAATGTATATGCTGCATGCGTATTCATGTGTGCATGCGTATTCATGTGTGCAAGGCAATCTGGCAGAAGAATGCAAGGCATAAATGTTCATGAACAAAGTGGAGTTCTGAAGAATTGAAGTGGTGTGAGTTGACTGATAGCAAACACCATGATTTGATGAGGCTGGTAGTTTGGTGAGGCTCACTTGCTTAGAGAAAGGGTGAAAGAGGACTGTGACTATGAGACATGCAAGGGTAATGATAGTGACATCATTGTTGGATGAAGGTCCAGTGAAGCAAGTGATGAGCTTTTGCGCCACCATAACCACTCTGACTTTCATACCAGGAATTGGCAGTGTTTTTTACTTGCTATTTTCTCAGGAAGAATAGGGAGCTGCATAGAAAGAGGTGAAATTAGCTAGTAATGAAATAAGGGAGCTACCACAAAATTGGAAATTATTTTCTTGATAAGGGGAATCTGATTTTTCTCATTCTCACTGTACTTTTCCAACTTTCTATTTCCCATGCTGCTCAAAGCCTGGGAAAATTCTGTCCCAAGACTTTTAAGTTAATCAATAAATATTTTACAGATTAATTGACGGTATTTTATGAATACTGATTCCTTTGAGAACTCACTAACACGCATAGAAGCTAACCTTTTAAGACACCATGTGAAGCTTATCTATATTCTGCAATGTTCATTCCATCCTACTTGCTAGTATTTTTAATGGAAAAGTTATACAGAGAAAACTTAAATATCATTTCAATTATATACTTTTTCATAAGTTCTTCCTTTGCAGATTGGAAGGGGAAGGCAAGTTCATAGATTCAGAAGGCTATGAATGGGTTGGCACATTTCATTACAGAGCTGCACCAGGGCTGAAATTGAAAATGGATATGTAATCCCTGACTGGATGAAACTTGTTCCTGGAACATTGGCATGTGATCACATTTCTGTATGCCATTTTCTTTTAAATATCTTAAGTATTCTTTGAAATACTTATTATGCAACTAAAACATTAAAGTAAAAATATAGTTTTATTTTTCAAAGAAACTAACTTATACAAATTCTGTTTAGTTTAAATGAAATCATTCAATTGGTTGGTTCTAACATGTTTAATAAAACAATACAATACTAACTGGGATATTCTGACTGTCTCCTGTTGTATCCTGATCAAATAATCATATATTAGCATTCACAATATGTTCCAGATGTCGGATTGCTGTGTTGGTGGGACCGCTTATCCTGAAGTGTGTGCTGTAATGAGAGTTTGGTTCATATTTAACATTGTTACAATGCCAGTAGAACCAGTCTAAGAAGGAGAATATTAATATTACATGAAAAAGCAAAAGAAGTGATATTACTAGAACCAAGTTCTGCATCATCCTTTCTACTGTGAAGTCTGACACAATATTCATTGAAATTATCCCCATGTCTTCTGGGTCCACAGACACATTCCCAATAAAGTCCCTAATGACAGGAGGCATTTCTGAAAATATTAGGTCCAGAACTGCCCCCTTGTTGGGCTTTCTCTGTACTAGCTAAAATAAGTTCTCCTGGAAACAACTTATGAATCTTGCTCCCACCCTACCTTGGGCATTAAAGCTCATCACAGTTAATATTTGGGCAGTTAAAATCCCCCACTGTTACTAGCATCATTATTCATACATTTCTGTGAGATATAATAATCAAGCTGATCTTTTTTCGCTTCCTCTCTCTGTTTGGGGCCCAAACCAGCAGATTGCCCCTTTTCTGTAACAAAAACAGAAGTGGCTGGAAAAGCTCGGCAGGTCTGGCAGCATCTGTAAACAGAAAATCAGAGTTAACATTTCGGGTTGAAACTTTAACTCTGATTTTTTTAATTTACAGATGCCGCCAGACCTGCTGAGCTTTTCCAGCCACTTCTGTTTTTGTTCCTGATTTACAGCATCCACAGTTCTTTCAGTTTTTAATTTAGTATTTGCCCCTTTTTTGTGTATTTTTTTTGCTTCTCCCCATATGGCTTCATTTAGTGATCCTGCCAAGATATCATCCCTCCTCAAGCTATAATCGATTTCTTGGTCCATACCAAGAGAGAGGCCAACCTCTCTCCTCCACTTTCGAGCTTCCTCTATTTCAAATGGGTATCCTATAGTCAGGAATATTGAGTTATCAATCCTGCTCATGTTTCAGGCAAGTCTCAGGGATGACCATATGATATCATATTCTCACATGCCTCTGTGCTTTCAGTTCATCTGTCTTATTTCTCAGACTCCTTTCGTAAACTTATATTGCACTTAGCCTTGCTAAACACACTTCTTTCTTACCTGACATATGTTTCCTCTGCCTCCCAGTCTTTCTTACTTTCATTTTAACTTCAAATTCCATCGCAGGTTCTCTCCCCTCTGAACTGCTTGTTGGGGTCCCATTTCCCCAATGCATCTAGTTTAAATCCCCTCAACATTAGCAAAGCTCCCATGAGACTATTTGTCATGTTCTAGTTGAGATATAACCTAACTAATTTGAACAGGTCCCACCTCCCTCAGAAATTGACCCAATGGCTCAGAAATCTAAACTTCTCCCTCCTGCACAAATTTCTCCACCTTCATATTCATAGGTGGTATCCCTCTATTCCCATACTCACTACTGCATGGGACCAGTAGCGATCAAGAAATTAGTACCTTTGAAGTCCTGCTTTTCAACTTCCTACCTAACTCCCTAAACTCTGCTTGCAGGACATGAATAGAAGCTGTTACATAAATGAGTTTGTAACATTAAAAGTCTTTTTAAAAGTCTGTTTGTCCCTGTAAAGTGCTTTAAACAAGAGGATCTACAGTCTTCTACATGGATGCGATAAGTTGTGTTTAATAATTGAAATTAATGATATGCCATAAATCCTGCAATTTTCTTTTCCTAACTGCATCTTCCAACAATTTTGTTCTCCCTCTCTCACACCATCTCTCTCGTCCCTCCTTTTCTCTACACATTCCTCCTCTTCTACTCCATCCTTCTAACCTCCTGCTAATCCTTTGCATATAATGCCTAAGTCTATCTCAAATCTTTCTCTCTCCATTTTATCCAAGGTGGAGCAAAATATCTTTAACAAAGCATCTTTTCTCCCTGGGCGAGTGCATCTAGTTACTGATCAGTCTGAAATTGTGGACTACACATTCGTAATAAAGCGACTGGAATTTCTTCTGATGCCTCTCCCTAACAGATGAAGACAGATGATAGATCTCCACCATCACTAAATGTTTAAGCAAATATAGAAAATGCTAAAATGTTGTTCTTGAAACTAAATATTAGTGGAGTATGTTGAACAGGTTCTGCTATACCACCCTAGTCTGGCATTCCCTTTTAAGCTGCTGTGCTGGTTCCTGTGGTTATAAATTATTAATTCAAGATAACTCCAGTAATCTACACTAAAGCAGTATCATAGCAAATTAAATGAAAGCAAACACTAGCATTCCACAATTGCACAGACCAAAACACAAGCGGACTCAAGATGGAATATTAATGGAATTAATGCCTTTTAGTTTTTTTTTAAATTGTCTCCCGTTTTCCATCTTTGGCTTGCCACAAATTCTTCCTTTGTTCTAACCTATGTGTCTACCGCTTTTGATTCCTTACTGTTACACTCTGGAATTGCCTTCCTCAGAATTTCTGGATTGGTACTTCCCTCCCAGCCTCCAAAGGCTTTATCAGGACTCTAACCATGCTTTAGTCACCTGCAGACCTTTTTCACTCTATCTTATTTGTTTTATGGCTACTCATTGTTCAGTGCCTTTTAAAACAATATATGATTTGTATCTGTACATAATGGTACAGTAAAAAAACTATGGTGATATTCTTAAAGCATAACTTCATACTTGATAACAGTTTTTTGCAGCTCTTCAGTTCTAGTAGCTCATGTATAATACAAAATTCCCAAGTATTCGTCTCCAGTAAGACTCCTTATCTCCATTATAATTTTGAACAATGAGCCAAAGAAGTCCAATAGCATAAACAGTAAAGCTTTGCTGTCCATAATATCTTGGGTTGCAATCTCACATTTGTCTGCTTCTTGAATTATCCATCAACTAAATAAAATATGATAATTGCTAAATAGAAGGTAGATGGACAACTGCACAGAATTTGCTCTTTCCATCTTTTAATGAAGTATAACAATCTGGATCTCGCCAGTGGATCACATGTGATAGACACTGTTCGTGGAGAAGCCCACAAGTTATCTAATTCTGAATTGGAAGATCTGCATTTGTCAGCTGTCTTAAAAGTGGAGAAAAATGTGGTCAAATTAAATACATTTCATATATGTATAAACTGCACAAATTGCCTGCTGTGTTTCATGCTCAACAGTGACGACATGATAAAAAAATCTTAACTGGCTGTAAAGCACTTTGGGATATTGTAAAGTGAAATATCCAAAATAAATCCATACATGCAAAGTTGTATCCAGATTGGCATCAATTTTCATCGTGTCACTCTCTAGCTCACCACTCCACTATTCAAGATAAATTTAAATGCTTTACCCCCTTATTGATTTGGCCAATTGTCGATATTTTTAAACAACCTGTTCAGAAGAGTTACAGCAAGCCCCTGGTGCAGACGGTACTTAAACTTGTGCATTCCAGCTCAAAGATAGGGACACTACCACTGCACCAGAAAAGCCCTTCAACCAATTATATACTTCTTCAAATTAGGTTTAGAAATAAAAAGATTTCAGTCTGGGTTCTTTAACTTACAAAAAAAAATCTATTGTGAAAGCAGAACTTATTTTTCAAAGATATAAAACTGATAAGCACAATTAAACACATTTGGAAGATTGAAAGTGTAAATATTTAATCTTCTTAATAAACCACACATGCATGTGCACACATGCCAATTATGAAAATAAAGAAATAGCTTGCTGTGTAAAGGATTAATTTTGAAGAAAACACACTTTAGCCAATAACTGTTCATTCATTCTTGGCCTATTATATGCCTTAGGCTCTCTCAATTTTGTGATAAACGTTATCAAAAGTGAATTTGCAAATCAGCTGATTGCAATTTTCAGAACAAAGTTTCTAGCTGTTTCAAGTAGCCATTTCAAGTGTCTTTGCAAACCAGCACATCAAAATAATCATACAGTTAGGCACACTGGCTACCACTTGCTGCATCAGATGGAAGGTCACTGCGGCATTGTTTCAGCATGAATGGTGTTACTTAGCATTGGAAAGATTGTTGGTGTGACAAAGCCAGATGCTGCTATTGCTCTGGGTGTTGAAGGAATCTGTTGTTATTTCTTTAACAATTTTATTTTGGTTTGAAATCTGGCACTGCCAGCTCCTATTAATACAGTCTTCCAACTGAGCAATGGGTTGCACTTTGTTATTGCATTGACTTTTCTGTAGTCTTTACAAAATCTGCACTTGGTGAGGCGATGTCATAATAATGATGCTACTGGACTAGCAATCCAGAGACCCAGTATGATGTTCTAGGGGCATTGGTTAAAACGCAGATTAAATTTCAATTCAATAAATCTGAAATTTAAAGCCAGTCTCTGTAATGGTGACCATGAAACCATTGCCAATTGTTGTTAAAAAAAAAAAGTTTGGTTTACTAATTACTTTGGGAAGGAATTCTGCCGTCTTTACCTGGTCTGGCCAATGGCTAAGTCATTGAGTCTTAATTTCTCCCTGATTTGGCATAACTAGCCACTCATTTCAAGGGCAATTTGGGATAAACAACAAATGCTGGGGTTGCTAGTGCACCTGCATCTCAGGAACAGTACATTTAAAAAAAAAATCTGCTAGAACCCTGAATTTTCCCCATTAGGCTTGGGCACTAACACAAGTGGAGAAATCCAGATCTTTGAGTGGGTTCAATTAGGTGGCTTCTCAAAATATATTACAATACTGCTTTCACTTGGACAGGTTTCTCTATACCCAAACGATAAAGATGCTGCTTTATATGACAGGATTCACCTGCATCTACATGGTGTATGCTAAGGTCAGCATGCTGGTGTGACCTACAGACTCCTTTAAATTACATGAGATGCCTTATTAGGTCTCCTTATTGTTTTGCCTCTAAATATGAAAGCATGATGTCTAACCGCCCTAATAGCTAAACAATAACTAGATGCTCGAAGGTTCATTTCGGAACTGTCCAAATTTCCTTTTACCTCAT